TCTTTCTTCCTTTTTTATTTTTTACATTCCAATCCCAGTTCCCCCTCCTTCCTCCCCTCCTGCTCCCCCCACTCCCATCTGCTCCTCAGAGAAGGTAAGGCTTCCTTTAGAATGTCAGCTAAGTCTGTCCCATCACCTCATTGAGGCAAGACCAACCCCCACCCGTCCATGTCTGATCTGAGCAAGGTGTCTCTCCAGAGAGACTGGGCTCCTCAAAGTCAGTTTATGCATTATAGTTAAGTCTTGGTCCCACTGGATGGGGTGATTCTTGTGGACCTTGTTTAGGGAAGGTAAGTCTGGCTCAGGAGATGGTGAGAACCAGCCTCTTTTCTTTGGTATCTGTTGCCATGGAAACAGGTACTATTGGGCCTTAGCACTCTGGGTAGGAGTTAGGGCTCCCTTTTGGCAAAGGGTCTGGGCATGGGGGAGGAAAAACCTGAAGACAAAGCCAATTCTCCCTCTTCTATCCTTTCCTTCCTTCCGTTGTTCTTACCTTCTTCCGTCCCCTCTTTCCTAACCAAGGAGCAGCCAATGCCCACATGTACTGCTTAGCACATTATAAAATAAGCCTTTAGTAAAGCAAATTGGTTGCTTTACTCCAAGTGGCCTTGGCAAGCCAGTTGAAGGGTTTATGAAAAAGATGAAGTTCCCCAGAGAGCAAACATTCTCCTTCCTGATTGTCTGTGATTCGAATACAATGTGACACGTCAAGTCTTTCCCAGATCTGTACTCTGCTGAGCCGCACTGAAGGTTTTGGATTTTCCATGATTGTGTGGGATAGTTCCTTGAAATGAATGAATTTGTTTCTGTCCATACATGCACACACTCACACCTACATGACTTCTAATTTTCTGAAGAACCTGATGAGTGTAAAACTCTGTAGGGCAAGGGGCTTCCATATCATTTGTCTTTGGATCTCCAGTACCCACTACCAGACACATTCTAGTTGCGGAATGGATAGGAGAGAAAATGAATAAATGTGGGCCCTGGGTGAGTAGGGCATTGCAAGTTCCTACCTTATTTTGCACTTTAAACAGTTGAGAAATCACATTCCAGTTACAGGAGTAGCATGTTCACCTGCTCTATTTTATTTTAATTATTTGAAAATATAACCTCTTTTTCTGTTTCTTTTATTAATTTATTTTTTATATTCCAATCTCAGTTCCCCCTCTGCCTCCCATCTCCCATCTCCTCCTCAGAGAGGGTAAGTCCACCCCCAGGAAGTCTACTAAGTGTCGCATAATCTCATTGAGGCTGAACTAAGGCACCTCTCCACCCCTATGCACTAGATTATTTTAAGGATTTTTAAAAATTAAAATATAATTACATATGTCTTTCCCTTCCTCCAACTCCTCCCACGCAACACCCATTCCTTCTCAAATTCTTTTTAAATTGTTATTGTTACATACATATTAATAAATATGTGAATAAACCTGCTACTCATTTGGTATTAGGTAATCAATTGGCGGATGCTTCTCCTTGTGAAAAGAACACTGCTTAGTCTCTCAGCAGTTCTTACTTTCCTGTAGTTATTCGTGTAGGGGTAGAACCCCTTGGAATTCATCCCTTCCGAGTTTGTGTATCTACTGGTGTTTTGCTTGTTCAGGTCTCGTTTGGCCTTCCTGTACATATTAAATTGAACAATCAGAACCTTACTCAGGGGCTCTGGGATCTTCCGCCTCTGATGGTGTCTGGAATTTTAAGGACCAGTCATCCTAGGAGCACTCCTGGGAAGTGGGGCCCTTAGCCATTAGGAATGATGAGAGGAGTTCAGACAAGGCACGCAGCTGTTCTAGCAAGGGCACCCTGGGACAATGCCTTCCTAAGATACCTGAATGGCTGTGCTGGGTCCAGCTCTGAGGAATGAGGCTCCAGAGATGTTCCTCCACTAAGGTAAGGACTCTTTCCCCAACAAACTTGAAAGAGGCTAGTACATGTTTAAAGAGGATGTCAATGCATTTTTCTCCTTTCTTTTTTATGTTAGAAACAACCTTGTTTTACACATCAATCCTGGTACCCTCTCCCTCCCTTCCTCCCCTGACCCCCACTAACCCCCTATCCCATTCTCTTTCTGCTTCCCAGGGAGAGTGAGGTCTTCCACGGGGGATCTTCAAAGTCTGGCACATTATTTAGAGCAGGGCCTATGCCCTCCCCCGTGTGTCTAGGCTGAGAGAGCATCCCTCTATGTGGAGTGGGCTTCCAAAGTCCATTCGTGTACTAAGGATAAATACTGATCCACTACCAAAGGCCCCATAGATTGCCCAGGCCTCCTAATTGACACCCACATTCAGGGGGTCTGGGTAGGTCCTATGCTGGTTTCCCAGATGTCAGTCTGGGGTCCATGAGCTCCCCCTTGTTCAGGTCAGCTGTTTCTGTGGGTTTCTCCAGCCTAGTTTGACCCCTTTGCTCATCACTCCTCCCTCTCTGCAACTGAATTCCAGGAGTTCAGTTCAGTGTTTAGCTGTGGGTGTCTGCCTCTGCTTCCATCAGACACTGGATGAAGGCTCTAGCATGTCATATAAGGAAGTCATCAATCTCATTATAGGGGAAGGTCATTTAAGGTAGCCTCTATACTATTGTTTAGAATGTTAGTTGGTGTCATCCTTGTAGATCTCTGGACATTTTCCTAGTGACAGATTTCTTTTAAACCTATACTGGCTCCCTCTATTATGCTATCTCTTATCTTGCTCTCCTCTATTCTTCCCCTGGCTCAATCTTCCTGCTCCCTCACGTCCTCCTCTCCCCTCCTCTTCTCCCTTTCTCTTTCTTCTAACTCTCTCTCCCCTCCCCACATGTTCCCAATTATCTCAGGAGATCTTGTCCCTTTCCACTTCTCTCTTAGGGTCCTCCTTGCTTATTAGCCTCTCTGGAGGTGTGGGTAGTAGGTTAGTTATCCTTTGCTCTATGTATAATACGCATATATGAGTGAGTACGTACCTTGTTCATCTTTTTGTGACTGGGTTACCTCACTCAGGATTTTTTCTTCTAGTTCCATCCATTTGCATGCAGATTTCAAGATTCCATTGTTTTTTTTCCTCTGAGTATTACTCCATTGTGTAAATGTACCACATTTTCTTTTTTTATTCTTCAGTTGAGGGGCATCTAGGTTGCTTCCAGGTTCTAGTTATTATAAATAATGATGTGAACATAGCTGAACAGACATTGAAAACAGCTTGGTATTGGCACAAAATTAGACAGGTAAACCAATGGAATTGAATTGAAAACCCTGATATTAACGTACATACCTGATTTTTGACAAAGAAGCTGGAAGTATACAATGGAAAAAAGAAAGCATCTTCAACAAATGGTGTTGGCATAACTGTATATTGGCATGTAAAAGACTGTAGAAAAAGCCATTTCTATTGCCACGCACAAAACTTAAGTTCAAATGGATCAACGACCTCAACATAAATCCAGCCACACTGAGTCTCTTAGAAGAGAAAGTGGGAGGCACCCTTGAACAAATTGGTACAGGAGACAGCTTCCTGAACATAACACCAGTGTAGCACAGACACTAAGATTGACAATTAATAAATGGGACCTCCTGAAACTGAGAAGTTTCTGTAAGGCAAAGGACACAGTCAACAAGACAAAACGGCAGACCACAGAATAGGAAAAGATCTTCACCAATCCCACATCTGACAGAGGACTGATTTCTAAAATATATAAAGAACTCGAGAAACTAGTCACCCAAACACCAAATAATCCAATTAAAAAGTACAGAACTAAATATAGAATTCTCAATAGAGGAGTCTAAAATGCTGAGACACACTTTAGAAAGTGCTCAACATCCTTAGCCATAAGGGAAATGCAAATCTAAACAACTCTGAGATACCATCTTGCACTTGTCAGAATGGCTAAAATTAAAAACAACAATGACACTTTATGCTGGAGAGGATGTGGAGAAAGGGGAACAGTCCTCCACGGCTGGTGGGAGTGCAAAGACGTACAGCCAATTTGGAGATCAGTAGGAGATTCCTCAGGAAAATGAGAATCAGTCTACCTCAAGATCCCACAATACCACTCTTAGGCATACACCCAAAAGATGTGCATTCATGCAACAAGGACATCTGTTCAGCAAAGGTCAATACATTTTCATATTTAGCTGTTTCTTTAGAATGAAAGTTGAAAGTTAAATACTTCTATTGCCTCCCCCCACCCCATGGCAATGAGGCTAGGAATCCAGATAAGTGATTGATTGATGATTCCTAGGGATGACGTAACCAGAATGAAACAGTTAGAGGGTTTATTAGGCAACATTCTCTAGATAAATAGACTCAGTAGATATCAACCACAAGATGTCTGTTTCATTTTGTTATAACAAAACATCTGAGGCTGGGTATTTTGTAAAGACCACCCTTTAGTAGTTAAAGAGGATCAAGAGCTTGTCCTCATTCATCAGTCTATCTCTGCTGAAGGCCCCATGGCAGACAGTATCAAAATTGTGAGTCAATATGGGAACAAGGGTCCATACGGCCAGTAGAAAGCCAGAGAACAATTACTGGAACTGCATAAGTCTTATATGGGGACACACCCCTAATCTCTTATGACCTCCCATGGTTCCATGTTCAATAGTTCACATGTCTTCTTAACATTGTCACACTAGAGACCAGAATTCCAAACATGAACCTCTGGAGGCTTGTATCATGCCAACAGATTTAGTGTGAGGGTGGTCTCGTGAGCATGGAGGCTGGGTAGTTTGGTGGGTTTCTATTTGCAAACAAGAAAACCAGGAAAATGGGTGGTGTCAATATGAATTACCTTAGATCACTACTTTTTCTTTGTTCCCCTTTGAAATTCCCATAGTAACTCCAAGTTGTTACAACATTTGGGCACAGCACGTATGTGTGAGGCTACTATTTCAGTGAACTTCTGATAAAGGTTAAATTTGAGTCAGACAACAGCTTAGTTGGGGTTCATCTCCAGACATGAGAGTATAGAATAGCTTTCTGTACCTATGATGTATTTTCTAGAACTCTTTTCTTTCGTATGATTTTTAGAGTGGTCATTGGAAACAATCTGTGTGTGCCATCCCTATTTGGAATCAATACTCCATAATAAGGACTAAGCCTCTGAAAGTACGGCTCATGAGATCTAAAAGCAGAACCCTAATGTAAGTAAAAAGTTGGAGTTTATGTAGCAATGATCTGATCAAAAATATCAAATTCTGTGAAGATTAGCTTGAACAGTCAACTTATCCTAGAACCACCATGAAGAGTGTCTCAATGAGGAACTGTCTACATCAGGTTGGCCCAAGGGCATGTCTGTGGAGAATTATTTTAACAAGTTAATTCGTATGGAAAAACCTAACCCACTGTGGGCGACACCATTCCTTCAGCAGGATTCTGAACTATGTAAGGGTAGAGACAGAGATGAGCCCGAGAAAGGGAGCAGGTGCATATTCGTGTGTTCATTTCTCTCTGCATAAAATGCTCTTGCCCTTGGATAGGATGTGGTTGGCTGTTTGAAGTTCTGGCCTTGACTTCATGTGATGGTTATTCCTGGTTAGCAACTTGAGTACATCTGGAATTAACTAAATCTGAAATGGCTGCATTCACTAGTGAGGGATTTTAAAATTAAATAATTTGAAGTGGGAAGGCCCACTTCTAATCTGGATCTTTAAGGCCGGACGATCCACCTGTAATCTGGGCCACACCTTCTTCTGGCAGCCTATATAAAGAACATGGAAGAAGGCATCTTTCTCGCTGTCTGCTTGATCTGGCTGTTGCTGTCAAGTCCATTCTCTCAATGGCATTACAACCTTCTTCTTTGTTCTAGTATCTACTGAAGACCAGCTGAACATCCAGCCATCCAGCCTTGTGGACCTAACAGCTACTGGATTCTTGGACATTCCATTCGTAGACAGCCATTGTTGAATAACTTGACTGGACTATAGCCTGTACGCCATTCTGTTCCTCTAGAGAACCCTAACTAACACACATTACTATGATTGAATTTAAATTGGAATTGTAAGGCGAAATAGCTCTTTTAGACCCTATATTGCTTTTGTCAGGATATTTTATCACAACAACAGAAGTGAAATTAGAAGAAATTCCTAAGCAAGGCTGACCGGAACAAATTCAGAGTTGACAAGTCCTATGGAGTGAATATATCTCCCCAACATTCATGTGCTGAAGCCCTAGCCCCCAATGTATCCAGTTTGAAGATGAATAGGGATTTTAAAGAGGTACTTAAGGCTGAATGAGGTAATGAGAGTAGATCTTAACACAAAAATAACAGTGTCGTAATGAGATGGGATGCAGCTGTTTCCTCTGGGCCATCAGCTATCATAGATTAGAAATCCATACAGTGACCTACAGAGTATCCTGGCTCTGAAGTCATGGAAGCTTGGTAAACAAAACAGCAGAGTGATCCACGGTATTGGGACCACTAAATTCTTCCCTAGGAGTGGAGATAGGAGGGTCACTAGACCCTCTCTGGATGTTCTGGCTGCCACTCCCTCCAGCCTGCTAGCTACTTGTGGTGTTAGGCTGCTAGAAGCTATAACAGGTGGAGGATTAATTGCCGATGGGACTCAAGTGATGCATTTTTTTCATGAGTTGTGTCTCCCTTGTTGGGGATGGGGTTTTGGTAACATCTGTAACTAACCTCAATAAAATTTATGACGTCGCAAACTGGACCTGAGTAGAACTGTATCTTTAGTCTGTCAGTCTCCATGTTTGATGAACGGGCATTTCTCGAAACCTCCCCCTCCCCAAAGTAACAACAGAAGTAGAAGCAACAGACACAAGGTGCTATTTTAGGAGCCTTACATTCATCAATGTGTTGTGTGACCTTTTTCCCAGGGACATATAAAATTAACATCTGCTCAGCCTAGGATAGTGCCAGCAGCTGAAGAATGATTCGTACAAATTCATTTTGATGAGTAAAGTTAGTTTATTAGGAGTTATTTACAGGGCTGTGGGTGACTAGAAGATTCACATTTCCTCCCAAAGTTGCCAGTCTCCCCCACCATCCTGCCTACCATGCTCTTACTTTACAAGGCTCTAAATCCACAGAGGAATTAATGAAATGATTTAGAGGCTGCCAAATGTTAAAAACGTCCACGTGACTACAGACTCAGACTTGAGACACAAAAACTCAGACCCTGGGAAAGTTGCTCATGGGTGTTCTGTACCAACCTTTAATCAGGTGTTGTGCTAATCTCAGAACATGTTGGCTATAGGAAAGATGGTGTGTGTGGCTGCCATGTGGCATGTAGACCAGCTCACTATAAGATGGGGCTAGGATTTAGAGGACTGGTGTTATAATGTAGTGTTTAATTCCCACTTCACAGATGGAGAAACCAACCAGGCAATGGGAGATCAGTGACTTTCCCAAACTTACTCCTGGTCTATGGAATTGCTCATCTAGAGACAGGCCATCTCTTCAGTGACTATACATAGTCATAGTAAGCATTAAAATGAGTATGAAGAAGTTGAGGGCAAGCCTGGGTATTACAGAGAGAACAAGAACAAAGTCTTTGTTTTCTCAAGCATGAAGACCATTTACCCTTTTCTATTTCCTTTTCCAGAAGAGGCAGAATTGTTAAGTGGCTTCTTTTATAAGAGTTGCTGTGGTCATGGTGTCTCTTTATACCAATAGAAACCCAAACTAAGACACCCTTCTTGTTGGCCTCTTTCTCTCCTTAAACAGTCCCCCTTCTGCTCTGATTAGCTCAGTTCCCTTTAGGGTGTAAATCAGTACACCATAAGAGGATGCTGCTGATATAGCCTGGATGCGGAAGTGCTTGCCGTTTGCATCGAAGGCTGCTCTACCACTGTCCTGATGCAGGAGGTGCTCAGCGTCACGTCAAAGGATACCCTACAGCTTGCCCCAGATGATGTTACTAGCAAAAGGCAGGCGGTGGTCATTGCTGACTCGATGTAGTATAATTGCTGCTACTCTTGAGGTATCCAGGAAACGGTTGTCTGTGGATGTTTTTGTTTGTTCCCCCTTTACCCGACCACTGTCAGCACACACACCAAAACCCGTTTGGAGTTTGTCATTCATCCTCTCCCCCAGTGATGGGGGGAGGAACTGGTTTCCACTTTAGAGGTGCCTTAGTATTTCAGCTCTCCTCCTCCTTCGCCTCTAACTGTCAGAATCTTTGCTTGATTTTGGCATGGATGCGGACAGGAAGCTGATTCTTAAATAGGCACACAAATATAGTTCCTAAGGCATAAACTTCAGACATCAAGCTTTTTAGGATGTTTTCAAAGAATTTGATATTGAATTGCTTGGAGTTTGAGTCTTGCTTAAAACTACAGTGAGTGGATGGCAGCCACTGGTACATTTCAGTGTGGTTTTTAGATCTCTTTGGTAACTTGTGGAAACTATACATGTTTTCTCTGATTAATGCTCATTTACACAGAGCTGGGAATATAATTTATGAGGACTTCAATAAAAGGCCTCGTGATATAGGTTTAGACTATACAGAGACTTCCTAATGACTTAAGCAATGCCCATCTTCTGTTTAGCTCTAAAGGTGGCTATAGAGAGAGATCAGAGAGGAGGTGTCTTCCGGACTGTGTGGCCAGATAGACTCTTCCCTTCTATATCCCTGCACTAACTTTTAGTAGCCACTCCAGCCACGTTTACAGAAAACCAAGTTACAACAGCTGGCTGTGTTAGGCGTGGTGGCACGAGGCTGTCTTCTCAGCACTTGGGAGCCAGAGGAAGGAGGGTCTGATGTTCAAGGCAGCCCCAGACACATAGTGAGTTTAAGGGCAGCTTAGGCTACACAACCCGGCTCACTAAGAGTATAAACACCGACAGCAACGGCAACAACAAAACCTCACACTGCGTGTGGTGACCAATCGCAGATCCCATTGTGGGAAGCCAGTGGTCTCAAGCTAAGGTTGCTCAGAAAATAAGAAGACAAATGTCACACATATACCAGCTTTTTTAAAGACTTGTCTTATTAGGGATCAGTGTACAGACACACTTGGTGTGTCAGTTGCCAGCCCACAGGCAGAAGTTATTGCTGTCACTTCCTTTACACGAATGTCGTACTTTCCAAATGCCTCACAAGTCTGACTGCATTTCTGGGCATGTCGGTCTGTGAATGTCCACTATGTGCAAATCAGCACAGAGCTCAGAGGGTTGATCATCACCCTTCATTTGCATCAGATTCTTTTTTTTCCTTGAGACAGGGTTTCTCTGTGTAGCTCTGGAGCCTGTCCCGGAACTCAATCTGTAGAACAGGCTGTCCTTTAACTCGGAGATCTGGCCACCTCTGCCTCTCCAGAGCTGGGATTAAAGGCATCTGCCACCACCCCCTGGCTTGTTTTGTTTTTTATTGGCACTGGCTCTCAGGTAACCCAGGCTGGCAGACATACTATGTAGCCAAGGGTGACCTTGAACTTCTGATCCTCCTGCTTCTCCCTGCTGAGTGAAGTGATTACAGGCATATAGCACCTCACCCTGTTTACACAGTGCTGGATCTAACGTAGAGGGCCTTGTGAAAGCCAGGAAATGCTCTCCTAACGGAGCTGTATTCGCAGCTTAGAGATGGCGCTTTTGATTGCACCCTAAGGTGGAAACAGGGGTCGGGTGAAGAAATGGTAAGGGCTAGGGTTTCTTATTCAAGACATAAGACCTCAAAGCCTATGGCAATGGAGAAGTGGGTGGAAGGTAAGTTGTTAGAGTGGAGATGAGTACCGTGGGTGCCGGGCATGGTCTTGCATGAATAAAGATATTGAGCTGGATGACTTCTATGGTCTCTTGGAGTACTTAGAATAACAAAAACAGGTTCTTCTTATTTTAGAGGGAAAAAAAGTCAAACCCAGGTCTCAGTGGGTCAGAACTCTAACTAGCATCACAACAAGTCATCTAACCAAACAGGAGTTCCCTGTAGATGAGTTTTGTTCTGCAAATATTTCAGGTGTGCCTAGTAGAAATTGTATGCAGTGGTTAGGTGTTGGGGACACCGAGAGTTAAAAGTGGCCTCTGTCTCTGAGGAAGGTGAAAACATTCGAAACAACAGAAGCCAACACCAGTAATGATGATGATAATAGTAATAGCAACAACAGAATCATGACTATTCATTAGGAACACCGTGTGGCCCAGCTCTTGGTCTTAATGCTTTTATGACAACTTATATCACTATAACCCGGTGAGCTGGGTACATCCTGTTTACAGAATGAGGAAAGGGAGATAGAGTAGACCGTAATTAATTGTTCTGCTCCCACTTAGTAAGTGACAGACAGGCTTGGAGGCAGGGTGACTTCACGGTCCATGTCCTTGTGCCCAGGCCTAGCCCTCCTCCCCGTGTAGAACACTTTCTCTGCAGCCCTCTTTCCTCCCCTGCTTTCTGGGCTCCTCTGCTTTCCTCCCACCAGCCTCGCTCACCAGACTCCTCCAGGCCCTCCATGCTCACCAGACCCCTCCAGGCCTCTGTGCTCACCAGACTCCTCCAGGCCCTCCATGCTCACCGGACTCCTCCAGGCCCTCCATGCTCACTAGACCCCTCCAGGCCCTCCACGCTCATCAGACTCCTCCAGGCCCTCCACGCTCACCAGACTCCTCCAGGCCCTCCATGCTCACCAGACTCCTCCAGGCCCTCCACGCTCACCGGACTCCTCCAGGCCCTCCACGCTCACCGGACTCCTCCAGGCCCTCCATGCTCACTAGACCCCTCCAGGCCCTCCATGCTCACTAGACTCCTCCAGGCCCTCCATGCTCACCAGACTCCTCCAGGCCCTCCATGCTCACCAGACTCCTCCAGGCCCTCCACGCTCACCAGACTCCTCCAGGCCCTCCACGCTCACCAGACTCCTCCAGGCCCTCCACGCTCACCAGACTCCTCCAGGCCCTCCATGCTCTCCAGACTCCTCCAGGCCCTCCACGGTCCCTTTTCCTAGAGCACATCACTACACGCTCTCCAATGCTCTGCCTGGGCTTCCATGGCGAGCCTTTACTCTGAGTCCTGCCAGGTCTGTGTTCCTGGACCACAGACTCAGGGTTGTCTCTGGCTCAAGCATTTAGCTGACTCTCAGCATATCTCTACTGGGATGTCTGCAGACTGCTGGTGCTCAGTATGACATTGATAGAATGCATCACTGTCCTCCTGATATGGCCTCCTCTTGGGTGGTGCGCTCTGTGTCTGACATAGTCCTGCCATGTTGGAAAACTCTGGGTTGTATTTGACTTCACGTTCTTTCATTTTTTTCATTGACTATTCCTGTTAAAAGTAATTTTATTTTTAACCTCTCATCACCAGGTTTGAGGTATTTCATTTTTGCATTGACTGCTCCTCTCATGGAGACCTCGATAATTTTATTTTAACCATTGAAGACCTCCTGAGTAGCTGTTTGCCTTTAATCTTTATTTTCCTTTATTTTAATTTTTGAGAGTGAGTCTCTATGTAAACCAGCTTTGTGGTTTTTCTACTTCTGCCTCCCAAGTACTGGGGACACAGGCATGTACTGCCATAACTGGCAGTCTTGTTTTAAATCCATCTTTCTTTGAACGGTGAAAGCAATCTCTCTAAAACACAAATCTTTCTCTTTTTTGAGCCAGGATCTATGTAGCACAGGGTAGACTCAAACTTACAATGGACCCCCTGCCTCAGCCTTTTAGGTCCTATGCAATCACCGCAGTCAGCCCACAAATTATTAAAACTTTGTCTTATTAG